TACAAAAATAACTTGAGAAAATTTACCTTAGCGCTAACAGTCTCGCAAAGATAATTTAAACAGAAAAGTCTGACTATGTAAAGTAAAATCCAATAATGAAGGCCAATTACATGGATAAAATGATTTCGTGGCGGTGTCCTCATGAAAAGATATATAATTATTTGTGTCAGAATCATCACAGAACCCATTGTTTCCAAAGTCAATTGTATACCAAAGATTGCGTTTAATTCACGAGATATTCGACATAATTCTAAATAGAGATGCCTGTCGATGATAAGAATTTGTTGATGTAAGTACAAGGCCATATAAAACAAGGAAAATAGTATTTCTGTTTTTTATTTAAGATAAATTTGTTTTTACTGTGTATTTAAAATATACTACTTATATTTTCCCCGTTTTCTTAAATGTATTTATGTATCAATTTACATTAAAGTCCAAAATATGCACTTATAATTGTTAGTACGTATTATATATCGACAATTAACTGCTTCAGATCTTCTCCATGTACATCTCAATTCATGTTCTTTTTTTATCAGTAAATATTTTATATGTTCGTTTATTTTCTCAAATCTGGTACCAATATACCTTTGCAAAGAAAAGTTAATTAATAAATTATAAAAAAAAACTTTATAATTTATTTTTTTATTCTTGAGTATATATCATCTGAATCAATGTATAAATATTTTGAGTAATACACGAACCACAACAAAATCAAAAATAACACATTTACGATCATAATGACATGATGCACGTGATTTGTAAGAAATGGTATAATCATACACCAATGATTGTCTACGGTGTCATACCACCATTTCATGTCAATTACATCTCCAACAAAATTACATATGAAGGATACAAGTAATATTCTTTTTACATATGTTTGCAATTTGTGATACATCTTTAATGTGCCAAGCTTTGCTAGTGTATCGTCTACTGCATCAAGCCTTTTCATAAATTTCCAAAATCTCTGTGTAAACGATATTAGATTATGGATATATAAAATATATTTGTTTACAAATAATGCAAAAAGTGATAAAATAAAATAAAACAAGTAATTTCACAGTTAATAAGATAGTAACGTAGTATATAGTGTATATTAAAGTTCTCGTACCTTATTGTAAAATACACTTATGATAACTGATATGACGCAGCTCAGAAGTTTACTAACTGTAATGGTCATGTCATTAAATTCTATAAATAGTTTTTCCACCTTAAAGGCGATCACTGTATAATAGCATAAACACGTGTATCCAATCCATATTGCCAAATTATAAATGACACTCAAATATACTTTTTCTTGAGGATAAATGCTTAAACAAACTATTGAAAAGACTTGAAATAAAGGACGTACAGCCTGTTGTACAGTAGTCGCCATAGTGATTATTCACTGAGTTTCTAACGCGAACTGACTGCGTGTCTGTTTGAACTCTTTCAGTAGACATATACTATTTATCAAATTAATGGAAATAATGGAATAACAAGTATGGCTGATGGAATAATAAAAACTCCGATATTTGCATCGGGGAGTTTTACACCGTATAGTAAAAAAAAATAATAAAAAGAATGAAAGTAGTAATAACCGCACAAACAGTAACAATAAAGTAAAGAAATTAATTAATTAAACATAAGCAAAACATTAACACATCAACTTCTGTGATTTTTATTGGCCTTCAATTAATATATTTTGTTGATTTGAGATTAAATAAAACATGTCTTATTTTTAGTCATATCTAGCTTTTTTCTATCAATTAATTACGCGGTTTACATATAAAGTAAACTTTTGATCGTCCTTATTATTTCTAGTTTTAATATATCAATCTGCTCATTCTGTATATCTGATACATGTACATTATATTAGTATTATATGAATAATAATAATGTTATTAAGAAAAGCAAATAAAGTCACTAAAAGTTTAGTTGTTAACACATCTTGCTATTTAAATGTTTTTAAATACTTACTCTTGTAAAACTCTCTTTTACTAATAAATGCTTGAATAACGAGAGAGAAAATCATTAAAAATACGTCAAAGAGCTTAGAAAAAGATATTTTGAAACGCAGAAATTAATTTTAAACGTTAGTAAAAATTAAAAATATTAATGTTTTGCAAGGAGAGAGAGAAAAAACCATACAAAAAAGAAAATGGAAATAGAAAAATAAAAAATTGGAAGAAACTAACGAGTAGAAAAGGATTATAGTTAATAAAAAAGATAAAGGTATATAAAAATTTAGTTTTTCAAAGATGACGGAATGCGAATCCACTTTTGTTTTCTGTAAATAACACGTTCGTCAATTTTGAACGTGTCGCTTATTATGTCCGATTATACATACATATATTGTTGATACAAAACAAAAGTGATTTATATGACAATATACACATATATGCATTAATATACACATGTGTCTGCATACCAATGCTTCTGTCAAAGATCAGATTCTCAACACGCGTATAAACAACGTCTGAAGCTGCTGATGTGTTTTATAAAAAACTGCTTATACTTTTCTATCTATTTATTTCTACGCTGTCAAAGGTGACGAGTTTTTACTTGAGTCCACATACAGGTTACATCAGAACACATACACTCCTCGTGAATGTAAGGTTTTGCATCTCTATTTCTGTAAAATTAGCGCGCGCTCCTTTTTTATCCTGTTATATCTTAGCTAATCAACAACGTTAGCGTTTTTCTTTCTCTTTGTATCAGCTTGCAGAACATACGATAATAACTGTATTCTTTCTCATGGATACTTAAAAGCAAATTCTTTTCTCTCTCTCTCTCGTTAAAAAAAACAAAATAGTCTCTAGATTTTGTACTTGTTTGAAACTTTAAGTTAGAATGGAAAATACTTCCTGTAAAATAATCTATTATACATGTATAAAATCGTTTGTTTTTAAATATAATTTTTTATAAACGTACGTAACAAACTACTGGACGTGATACAAATACACGAACGTCGCGATCAAAGATCGCAGTGTCGCCTACGGCTACGTCGTATTAGTTAGATAAGTACGCGTGGAGATACAATTTACCTAGAAATCATGAATAAATCATAAATAAAAGAAATGCGTGCAGTTGCAAGTACAATCCACAATTCAGACACATTAATGTAGAAACAAAAAATCACTTATATAATCTCGACTGCTTTATGACAAAGATCAAAATGCACATGTATCTGCGTTGACGTGCATTCTCAATGATAGAGTTGTAACATGAGCAAAGAAACGATTTTTTGGCCATTTTATTTTTTTTTCGAAAAGTAGGAATGTATAAACAGTAAATAAGTATTACGTTTTTTCTTTTATTTATGTAACTTTTATATGTAACTTTTCTTATATAAGATAGAAAATGTTTTAGAATTTTAGCAAATTTTTAAGTTTTCGTGCGCGCCTTCTGTCTATTATACATATCGTTATTTCTCTAAATGTATATTTTATTACATTATGTAATCGAATTACGCAATGATCATTAAAAGTAATGAAATAAAATGCAAAGCAGGTTATAAAATGAACAACTTTCTTCGGTGAACTACTCTTTGTTCGAATCATGCAGTTTTGATCAAATTCTTCCATTCTTCTCTTTCAAAAAGATAGATAAGATATAGCTTTATTTGTTCGGCGCTCTGAAAAAATCTTCTCAAGCGCAACATTAACAAAAAACAATGATCACAATAATAAACAAATGAAAGAAAATGAAAAATGAGCATATATAACTAAATATGTATAGGTGAGCACTAATATTTAAAAATAAAATATAGATTAAAGTATAAATACACAGCTAGAGAGAGAGAGAGAGAGAGAGAGAGAGAGAGAGAGAGAGAGAGAGAGAGAGAGAGAGTGAGAAACAGATAAAGCAAGAGAGGGAGAAATTCTTTGATCAATTTCACTGGTTTATTTGAACCTTAAGTGCATTCCTAAGTTCCATTTGTGTGCATCCAACATTTATGCTTGTGTAAGCGCGCGAATGACCGAGAGTCATCTTTGTTTATCACATCAGGTGAACGCAGTGGGAAGACGGTGTTGGATATACCTTTCCCGTGTGCTCGCGCGCGTCTATATGCACACAGGTAACGCAGTTTTCGTTGTGTCGGTGACGTGCATAGTGGATGACGCGCGCGTGTGTTGCTCGACCGGACTCTGTCTCCTCAGTGTGAGAAACACGTTCAGACGGATCGGTCGTATGCTCATCCGCGGTTGTGCTGTGGCTCCGGATTCGTTTGTCTAAAGTCAATGAATTTGCGACGACTCTAGCGCGCGAGCTAAATATTAGCAAATAATTCGAATGTAACCAAGCGCGAAACTTTAAAACAGATACAAAAAACCGTCGTGAAACTAGTGACTAAAGACCTTGTCGTGAAAAATCTCTGATATAGTGACCGGTCGCATTTATCAACTCGAGAAGTCTAAGTTTCTAACGTAAGAATTTTGTCTCCCTTCTGAGAAACACTTTACATTTTTTTTATTACGACCTAAGTTGTCTGTAACATATATAATTATTCTTTTATATTATTATTATTATTATTATTAATGGTATTACTATTATTATTATTATTATTATTAAAAAGAATTAAAGTAAAGCAAAACATTGAAAATTGTAAAAATAAACTTAGAGAAAGTGCATAGGCAATACTTGAGATCATCTCTGTTCACACATTATTATTAGTGAATTATGTTACCAGCAATTAACGAGTTCGTCGAAGTAGAGCGAATAAATCCATCGCGCAAAAAGGTTGAATAGATTTCGTGCGAGTTTCAAGGACAGGTTTTTAGATCCAAGATGTGACACTATCTTTTTTGATCTTGCCCAGTGTGAAAAGTAGATCGCATGTAATTGCTCATGATATGTAAATATTTTTTTGTGCGTATAAAAGAACATATGTTTAGAAATTATTCTCTTTGAATCTGCGGGAGACCTACGTTTTCATAGTAAGAGTTCTGATCTCAATTCGAATGCATTACGCTGCACTTTCCTACTTTCATCGCTAACTTGAAAAATATTAATCGCTTGAGGGGAGATGCCTCGGAACGAAAGAGATAACATACCTTCGCGAAAATATGTATATATACATTATTATACATATATAAATTTCTCTTTTGTTTAGCCGCAATATATAAACAATAAATATATATATATATATATATATATATATATATACATGTATACATATGTGTATACATATATAAGCAGACAAATTAAAAAATAGATGTCTGTATGTCACAAAAAAATTTTTCATAAGGCGTGAATTATGTGATATGATAAAGATATACTGATACACTGTTTTTGTGCAAATGTCAATTATTCTACATTATTGTAATTTATATGTAAGTGGAAAATGTTAGATTTTTTTGTCTAACAAAATGCAATATCAGAAGAATGGCGTTAAAAACAACTTTTTTTCTATTTTTTAACGTAAGATAATATTATCTGTGTATTTACACGTTGACATTAGATGTTCATCAAATATCTATTATTAGAAAATAACAGAAATTTAATCAATTTTGTATAAAACAACAAAAGTAAAATTATTTTTCAATGTTATTTACAATATAATAGAAAAATTATATGAGTGCCTACTTTTTTAAACGCGACAGTTTGTTGACATGTTAAAATATTTGTATGACAATTTTAGTTATCTATGTGTTAGATTGCACTGATTTTTATGAAATTCGTTCGAAAATTCCAATAACAGATCGTTGTCTAATTGTTCACGACTTCGCTCATACAAGTTGCGTGACACGAATAATCCATTCGTTTAGTCGTCTAGTCTAGTAGTGCGATCATTGTTTTCCGATTGCACGCATTGTAGTTTTCTCATTTAGTTTTCTCATGCACATAATAGAGTATCGGTTTATCTTGCGAGTATCGGAGATTTTAAACATTGTATGTACCAACAAAGACTACAGTATTCAAAAAAATTTTGTATTCCAAAATAAAAAATTTCATTTAAACCTAAAATGTTTAGTGTATCATCAACGTCATAAATTAATAAAATGTTGACTTGCATAAGTTGAAAATAATTTACATTATAACGGTATCAAAGATTTGAAGATTGTTGTAGTTTATGAATGTTGACTTTTTTTATTCCCAAAAACTGTGCTAAGAATGGGCTGTCACAATTTTATAAAAATTTCTTTTAATTTCTAGAATTACGTTTTTTAACTATACGCCTGAATATCCAGCATACACTTTAAATATCGGTATATTAATTATGAAAAGACAATTTACGAATATACGATCAATGTTGTGACTATAAAGACTTTCGCTATCGCTCTCATGTCAATACAAAAGTAGGTCTTACTTTAACAAGAAAACAATCGCAAGAATCAATAAAATGGTCAAAATTTTATATTTTGCTAAATGTGTGTAATATATTTGTATAAGATAAATAAGAACGTGAGAAGAGAAGATGTGTCTGTGACGTTTCGATTCTGAAAAAAAGAAAGTTTTAGAAAGGAAAAGGAAGATAGTGGATAAAAGACTTACAAAAATAGAAAGTGATTTATTTTATCGTAAAAAATATTTATAAATTAACATTTATGTTATATGTGAAATAATAAAGATTATTTATAAATAAATAATAAATAAGGATATTACAAAAATAAAACGTAATAGTATTGAAGTTATATAATAGACACGCTTATATACATGAAGTAAAAGTATACATACCAGTTATTTTCGAATATTTTAATAAATGTGACTTTTAAATTCATTAAATTGGATTATATTATAATATAGATGTATTTGCAGCGCAAATTATGCAAATTTTATTTTTTTGCGAGTTACGAAATTCTTGCAAAAGGTCAGCCAAAAGTTTTTACGACAGTAATTTATCTCCGTTTGATTGGTACTCTTCCACATATTTTTAGCAAAACTATTTGAAACCACTTATAGAAGAGATGAGATTAAAAAAATGAATATCTCATGTTATACGCATGTATGATTCCGCAAGAAAAATGCTAACGAGTCAAGGTTAGGGAAGTTCTCGATTAAACATATGTACGCGACGCAGATTATACAAAATATGTGAATAACGATTGATAAGTATCCGAAATGACGCATAAACAGCGAAAATAGTATCGCATTGTTGTTATCGTTGACAAGTTTTATTCTTTAGAAGAATAAATATCAAACGCTCATAATCGCACGTAATGTTTGTGCGACAGGTCGTAAAAATATGGTTATTAACATTTATGACATTGATGAATGGATTGTTGTCCGAAAATTTCTTTCCGCCGAGTCATTTTTTGAAGTTTGGAAATAATTAAAAATTGTACAAAATAAGATTCTTATTTAGCAACAATTCGACGCTCAACTCATAAGTTTTAACTATCGCAAGAGTTGAAGTGTGAGCTGATGCATATTGTCTTGAATCACTGAAAGCGCCTACTTTGTCGAGCTGTCACACAAACACTATGTGCAATAACGAGCCAGTGTTTGACATTTCAATCGACGCTATGTATCACCGCGATAGTCAACGGGTTTGTTTGAGTCGGTCAGCTTCACAGCATTATGTTCCATAGGATTTTGAAAATAATCGAGTGACGAGTGTATCGTAAAAAAAACACGCGTGACTCTCGCAGACAAAAATTGTTTCTCATCTTTGCTTGACCTACTCCTCGTTCTTTTCAATATTCAAATGCATAGGTAGCAGTTATTTACACAACGGCTATTCTACTTTGCATATAATCAGCCACAAATATTTGTGATGTTAGTAATCTCGAAGTGTTCTTCACATGATGTGACGCGGGATTGAGTAACATCTTAAACTGGAGCACGATCTCTTACTTTCGATTGCTGACCGCCGCATACATATTCACGCTATTACACCGGTATCTTTCGTGACATTCGCTAACAAGCGGCAGAAATTGATCGCCATGTTCAGAGTAACGGTCAGGCTACATTTTCTATTCCAGTGGCCGACAGATCGTTATATATCACGCTTTCTTCCTAATCTAAATCCCAAACGGTCGCGAAGAGAAGAAGTTGCGTCGTTTAAAGTTTCACTTTCCGCTATTGTCATGAATGAGCGTACGCTCATTAGAAGTAATTGCGAAAAATCATGATTTCCTCCGCTGTGACTAAGCGATGTCGTGAACATAATAGCGGTGTTAAAAATTCTTTAAGTATATAAAAAACCGCGCAAGGTTTTAAGTTCAAATTGTTATTTTGTGTTAAATTCGTGAAAAATCGAAAAACTAACTTTGAAAACGGAATATCCGTCATCCACGCGCTCGTGAGATTATTGCCGATTATGAGAAAAAGTCTTTTTAGTTTGTTTTCGACGGCGAAATACTATCGTTCGGAATATACGTGAGATGAAAGTAAAGTCGTACTCGACGCGTCAGCGATACGTCGTCGCCAACAGGAAGAGAGACTTCATAATCTATTTAACTTTCAGTGCGTCAAGATCGAGTGCCGCACGCAGGTGACGTGGTTTTAAGTGGAATCAAAAGATGCACCGTCGTTGAAACGGCAGCAGCAAAATTTTCGCGCGTGAAAAAAATACTTCAGTCTCATCTCAAGTCGCTCGTGAAGTGAAACAATATAACACGTGGGAAAGCGAGCAAGCACGATGGATAACAAAGGCTTCCAGAACGACGAGCAACGGGCCAAAATAAAGAAGATGTTCAGCTGGAGCGATGGACTTCCTGGGTAAGTCCATATTAAAGTAAACTCATTGAACGAATTAGAATACAGGAATTTGTTGTTTATTAAAACTGCGCGGTTGTAACTTTTAACAATATGTCGACTAATTTTCCTGCATAAAAAATTATAGATAAAAATAAGAAAAACCTCGGAACTTGACGCATTCACACACATACGTATATGCAGAAATAATGATCTGCATGTATGTATTGTGTGTTGGCTTTGTTTTGTTTTGCGAGTCTCTGAAATCAATCTGTCACAATTTATGTAAACGTGTGGGATATATTTTACGTTCAGCGAAACTTTCTTCGGCGAGTTTCTAAGAAAGTTCGCGGATATATCTCGAAGAAGAATTGATCGCGCGACACATTTTGGTGTGTGTACGCATCTTACACGAGATGGCAGCTTCGCGAGAGCAAAGTCTACGCAGTCACAAAGATTTTTTTAATGTATGCGTTGCAAAAAGAAACACACGTGTATGTCTAGAATTGATCTTGCTTCGAATACAAACGAGTGTTTTATGATAAACAGTGGACGACCTTCTCTACGTTGGGCGACAGTAATTTTGTTGCTAAATTTTGTACATAATTGTAGTTAACAGACGAATATATATATCTACTATCTCATAAAACACACGATATCTCTCAAAACTTATTTTACAGATATAAAAATATTTTATTTCTACTAAATATCGCAATATCCGGAGTGTGATGTTCGATAAAATATCTTGAATACATCTGTGCTGTTAGGACATTAAAAAAAAAAAGTAATGCTTAGCTAACTTTTTGCAGACGGAAAACGACCTAGAATTACATTTACTTTTACTTCGCAACACACACCTTCGCTTCACTCGTAGTTCAAGTTAAGATTGTCGGCTACTGCGTGAATGCGTAAATTCGAAATTGCTCTCGTGAAGCCTTTTTCTTGCGTGTGCGATTTCCGTTCGTAAGAACTTACGGCATACCACACTCGGCAATGAGCACCGGCGCGGCTTACTTCGGCGGGAATCAAGTTTGCAATCGCGCGTGAAAGTGGCCGGCAATGGCCAGCAAGTGCGGCGAGAGACCAGACTACTGCACACTTTGCCTAACTGCAGTATTGTGCGGTGAAAGGACAAAACGCTGAACTCACGCACATAACGCATCTTCGCCGTAGTAGTGCTTTAGCAACATCGGCACACACAAATTTAGTAATAATTAAAATTATAAATTTAAAAGTTTTACATTTTATTTATCTTACAGTTGCAGGAATGACAGCAGTATGATTGTTTCGATTTTGAATCAGTGAAAATTTACACGCATTAAAGGCGACGCGTCTCGCAAATGACACGCTTTTATGTTATTGCATAATCCGGCGATATGCTATTACGACGCGGCTAGGAAGCGCGGTGTAAAATTCGAAACGTGTGGTTCGTTCATTATCCGACAGGTCGGTGAATGCACAACAGACGCTACTTTTAAAGTGTTGTCGGAGCGCAAAATTGCAGTGCTATTTTCACTGGAATGGAATTTTTCTCCGCTGTGACTGTGCTTTACAGCGGCACTACCTTGAATATTAATTGACAATGTTGTTTTCCTTCGATTAATACATCTTAGTCAATTCGCGAATAATTAAATTAATAATTTTAAACATTTATAAATATATAATAATAATATACATTTTATAAGGTAAAAAACAAAGAAACAGAACAAGTTATTTGCAGAAAAATACATTGTCATCGAGTCTTTAAAACTTTCACACTATACGCGTACTGATAGAATCATCAGATCGATATCAGTGCCGAATGCTTATCCGCAGGTGTCCGCAGGTGTTCTTCGCAGGTAAGACGATTCTGCTAGATACTTCTTCCACGAGATGGCACTGTGATGTTTTTCCTGCAGCAAGACTTTAAAAAATTCTCAAATTAACAATTCTTTTTCATAATTTTATTAATCAATTTTATTAATTTTAATTAATAAAATTGTTGCGGAAATGAAATGCGTCATGTTGTTAATACTTTTGGCGCGTACTTTTGTTATTTTATTTTCTACAACTGAAAAAAAATTTTTCTTTATATTTTAAACGAGGAAAACAGCACGGAAAAAAATTAATATCAAAAGTGTCTGATTTTAATTGCAATGTTTGAAAACGCGTAAGATAATTGATATGTAACTCTGAGGTTTGTTAGACTTTAAATGTAAACGTTATTTGTACGCGAATTATTATTATATAGAAGTTAATTATGTTTCACATCACGCACGTACGCACATAATAGCTGCATTGTATTAGGCTACAGATGTCATAAATTGTCTGTGCCTGTCTTTTGTGCACATTCTTTCTTTACAAATTCTTTCGCAGTCGCAAACAGTTAAACTTTGTATATAACGACGCAATATAATAATATTTAGAGACGTTCGTATATTTTTTACAGTACCAAGAGTGAGACATAATTATTACTGTATGCAAGTAAAAACCAGTTTTGCTATTATATGACCAGCAAGAAAAATTTTCTGAGTTTACTGAGTTTGTTCATCAACAAAACGTTTTAATGACAAAATAAAAACTTCAACAGGCAAATTTGTCTTGCTATATAGTAACTAATAATTTTGCTAACTTCTAGCAAACTTTTTTTCCGTATAAATTATCTCAAAAATTAAATAACTATCTATTGAGCTAATTGCCGATCATTTGTAAAAAAAATGCCCGACTTATCATAATGACGCAGTAAGGCATGCGAGTTTGAAGGTTATGCATGTTTAATCTGAGAACTGATGTAATTATTAGTTTTTTCTTTATTTAATAAGCATGTACAATAAAAACAGTTTTTAAAACAGTTTGTTAGAATAGCAAGAAGATTGTCATTATGTAGACAGGAAGAAAAAATAGTCTATGCCTACTGAATTTTTTGTTGGTAAAAAACCTTCAATAGACAAGTTCTTCTTGTTCTTCTATTTATGTAGTAACAAAACTGTTTTTTTCGTGAATGTCGATTTATTAAAATATTCCATGAAACGAATTAAAAAATGACTTTATCGCAATTTTTGTTATTACGTCCTAAAAACATTAATGAAATGTTAGTAAAAAATTGTATTACACTTTGTATATGATTAAAGATTACATTAATAAAAAATTTATTATGTGAATTAAAAATTTTAAACATGTTCTGTCTTCAAGTAGTTACTTGATAGTGTCATAAATATTTTGCAGTCATGTTAATGAAGAGAGACATTAATTATTTATTTAAAGCCAAATAGATGATTAAAATTCGCATACAAATAAGAAAAGAATAAACAGTTTGAAATATAACGTAAATAGAAGGATGGATAGCTTATATATGTACATATATTTTTATTTGTATACGTACATATATAAGCTATCTATCCTACTATTTATGTGTATAATAGCATTTACATTTAATCTGGGAGAAATTCCCAAGCTTGGTTATTTTGTTGAAAAGTTTATCATTGCTTCATCTCATAAATGAGAAAACATCGATCTTGTTTAATTGTAGACGCACTCATTATAAACACGATATTACGTGAATATCCGCAGAGATTTCTCTTGCTCTATTATGTCACGTATCGTTAATGCTTCGTCACTGTAGTGCAAAAGATACGAACAATCTTAAAAAGATCTCGCCGCGCCTTCTGTCATGCAGAATTTCAGCTTTGAACGAGCGGGACACATGGGGATGAAATTTTCGCGAGAGCCCAAATATCGATATCGGGTATCGATGCAGCTTCGTCGGACGTTTGATCGTTCTTCCTGGGATTTTACGTAACTCAGCAGCAGCTGGACTGACCGCTTTCACGTCTACGTTATATCTTTGGTCGCGTTTAGCGATCTGATTCGTTGATAATTATGATGACATTTTCTTGTGTGCTGATGTCAATTTGAATTTGTTCACGCCGCGAAGCGCAATTGCAATCAAGAATTGAATGTCATAGTAAATTCTTTTTCGAATTATTCTAAAACAGGTCAAGGTTGTTCGATGTCACACGATGGCGGAACGAATGTAACACGTTCCCCGAAATGGCCCTGTCTCAAGAAAGAGATACCAATCTTAAGTTTCGTTGACGGAGATCGCGCGCTGTCGCTTTTAGTGACCCGATAGTCATCGAGTACACGCGCACCGAAGTGACGACTTTCGCTTTTACAAACGATATACACGAAATGCTCTTACTGATTGTGCGACTCTCGGACCTTGGCGACGTAAATTCTGACTTGATCGTATTTATGCGTGTTTAGTGGACGTTCTTTTGTCAATATTATTTTTTATTAAATATCTACATTTTTTTATTTTATTAAATATCTATATGTCGCAACTTTTATGAAAGAGAAAACTCGTTCATCTTCCGTGATATAATGTACGAATATTGTCACAACTATTATTATTGAGAGAAAAGAAAAAGAGAAAGAGAGAGAGTTCATTATTTGTTGCTTACAGTGCGTTTGTTGATACTTGTTGTATTTCGAAATAAGTACATAGTAAATGTCAAATATTTGTGTTTCAAAAAATAACAAACAGGATACATAAAAATTTCAACTTTTACTCTGAATGAAATAAAACGCATGCAAGAAATTATTTATTGTAAATCATATCTGCTTTTATGGCCGTGTTTATAAGCCATTTCATATCGGGAGTATATTTTATACATATTAGCATCGTGTTGTAGACTTCGAATACGTAAAAATTGTTGCTAGAACAACAAAAAAATTAGTTATCATACGGCAAAAAACATTTGCTAAGCTTATTGAATTTTTGTTTTGTTAATAAAACATTTTGTTGGCAACACCAAAATTTCAGTACACTTAGCAAAGTTTTTTGTATGGCCACATAATAAAATCTTTTTTCCTTGCAGTTATTCTGCAAAACGCGTAAGAAATATGTTAATTATTATTTGTGTGAAATAATACAAAGAATCTTTGGATATGAATAATCTCAATAATAGATTATTTATAGTGTCTTATGTTTTTTTATAATGTAATCGTAAGTTTCTATTATAACAAGTAAATTTTGTTTTATT